GGATGAGATGGATGGGCACGGTGGCTGCAGCAACAGGCTCACATATAACCGCAGTGGTGAGGAGGGAGCCGGACCGGGCAGGCAGAGTTGTACTCTGTTGTCGCTCTGAGTGGGAACAGACTCGATGGAGCGTGGTCATCAAAGCTGGCCAGCCCCAAGCATAAGGGTCAGGCTTCACACTCCAGGTTCCTCTGGATTGACAGTGCTGCGGGCACTGACGGAGCCGAGGTTGGCAGGCAACACGGCAGGCCCTCTCATGACCCATGGGTTGTGCATCACGCACTGCCATGGTCAGCCTCTCAGGGTGTCAGGAAACCCCTGTCCCAGTTGTAGTCCATGCTGGCACTGTCATCACGGGAAGGACGTATCCCTGGCTTCGCTGGGTCACGCCTTCCTTTTCAGCATGAGTTCAAAGCAAGCAGCAAGGGCTGGGTGGGGGGTGGAGGGCGCCTGGTACCAGGATGGGCATGAACCACACACAAAAGCACGTGGAGCTCCACTCCCAGACCGCTCGGCCACTGAGTGACCTTACAAAGAAAGGTAGTCTCCCCCAACTGCTGCTAGCGACTGGGTTCTGTACGGCAGGCATGCAACCATGCAGACTCCGGGGTCTGGCTGCCCATTCACCCCAGCAGCCCAGTTTGAACCCAGCGCGGTGATCTGGGCATAGTTGACCAGGCCCCACCTCCTCCTCCTAGCCTCCAGGATTGCCTGCAGTTCAGTTGCACGCAGATGGGGCTGGCCCGTGCGGTGCTAGCCAATTCAGGAGTTCTTATCACCACAGAAAACTCCCAGGTTGAGAACTACCAAATTAAATCAAGCCATTACAACAAACAAATAAGCAAAAATCAGGAAGCATTCACCCCCTGGTTCTCTCTGCTGGAGACTATTCATCAAGGCCCAGAGTAAAGGTGCAGGGATGGGGTATAAAATCCTGGGCTTCAAGAACTAGCTAAGAGACCAGAGGGTGACCAAAGCGACGTCCCACAAGCAAGAGGGGCTCACCCAAGGTCACTAGCCACCCATGCAGAGCTAGGTTGGGAGCACCCACGCTGGATGCTTGTTTGCATGGCTGAAATATTCCAGCAGCTGCAGCGGCTTGATCTCCCGCTCAGCTCCATGCCTGGGGCTGGACATGCCATCTGCACTTCTCATCTGGACCTTCAATCATAGTTCTCACTCATAAGCATTGCTTCCCTGGGTGAGCGGCATGCCAGCACCCCAAAAAGATTAGCACTTCTTGGAAACTGGGTTCCAGGCCTCTTTTCCCCCACTGTCCATATCATGCTTCGTAAGATTGTTGATTCCACAAACCAGACTGGGCAGGTTTCCGGCTTGTTGACATGAGCATGCGTATTCTTGTTTTACAGAGAGGAAAACTGAGGTCCATGCAGGGTACAGAGGGTATCAGCTTGGCAAGAGTCATTGGAAGAGTGAATGACAGGCTCCAGGGCTGCAGCGCAAACCTCCCGATTTGGAGCCCAGGGCTCTTTGCTGCGTCAACCATCAGCTCCGGCTGATAAAGGTGGAATACGGCTCCGTGATAACCAATGGCCGTCAGCTCTTCTGCATAGCCAATTGTGTACAATTGGGAATCCACAAATGCGTGATGCACTGGGTGGTAATTTACTTGACCAAAAATAGAACTCTTTGTTTTGCATGTAGACTCCTTTAGGTATATATATATATATACACCAAATATATATATATTTGGTTTTTTTAACCTGAAGTTATATATAGTCTAAGATTGGGTTCATTTCATGAAGCACCGTAACATTTCACAGACCAGGTAATGTTTTCTAGGCCAGGCCTGCAGCTAGGGCAACTTCGGTGACTCAGAGGGTTTAGGCAAAAGGGCCAGAAAACTCTGTCTGCAAGGGAAATAGTCTTTGATCCAGCCCCCATCTTTGTCAATAAAGTTTTACTGGGACAAAGCTATGCTCAACTCATGCATGCCTTGTCTGTAGCAGCGATCATACTAAACGGCCGAGCTGAATAGTGGCCACAAAGAGATGATCTGCAAACACAGATATAGATTAATCGGTCATTGCCTGGATCAATGTTGCTGAGCCTGATTTAGAGACTCTTGTAGACACTTACATTTTGTTTCACCGTCTTTGTCTCTCCCTTCCCCACCCACAGTTGCTAGCTTACCCCACGATGGTGACAGCATCTATTCTGAGGGGAGAGTCTGCCTGAACAGACCAGGGTGCTTGTGTGTAACAGCCACACTTCCTATCAGAGAACCGGAGGCCCGAGAGAGCCAGCACTCACTCCTGGTCTGCATTATACTTTTCTTCGCCAATAGATCTCTCACCAAAAATGTGATTTTAGCCAGTTTTAGCTTAGGGCTCAGAGGAAAAGGGAATGTGGAAGGAACCCGAGCATCTGGGCAGACTTAAAAAAATAGAACTTGGGTCTCATTTTCAAATGGAAATGCAGAGAATGTGGTGAATTCTCCTGGAGTCCAAAAGGTCACGGGAGAAGTGTTCTCAACAGTTTAGGGAGTCAGCGCTCCTTGGTACGTTCGCCCTTTCCTTTTCCACACCACACTGCCCTTCTGTCTCTGTGTCACCGCCAGCCTGCTTTCCTGGCCTGGGAAGACCCTCAGCAACTACTGACTCCTGTGTTGTCTCAAGGTGAAGCTCACGGAGGCACAGGAGAGAGCTGGGACTCTAGAGCTGCATTCAAGCAGGCCTCGCAAGATAGTGGGAGTCAAAGAGGATAATGGGTGCCACTGTAATCGCCGACAGAAGCTCACCCCCTCTCCATAAAAAAGAGGAGGAAATGTTTTGAGAATGATGAGGGCAATGAATGTACAAATATGCTTTACACAATTGATGTATGTATGGATTGTGATAAGAGTTGTATGAGCCCCTAATAAAACGATTAAAAAAAAAGAAAAGAAAAAAAAAAGAGGGGGAGAAGCACTGCCCATTGAGATGAGAGGAGCATCCTCACCGGCAAGCTCTCTCCAAAGGCGAGCTGCGGCTGGAGGCCAAGGGCATTTCCAAACCTTGGATTCTCACCATCCCACAGATTGACCCATTGTCATTTGACTGTGATGGGATCTCCAAGATGAAGTCCAACCCAAGATGAAGTCCACCCTGCTATCCCATGTTCCAGGGGTAGAAACAAAGGCCTGGCCAGTGGAGGGTACACATTAGCAGCAGAGCTTAGAGAAGACTCTCGAGTTGTGTTATAGATGCTCACGTTGTGTGATAGACCACAAGCAGCTTCACGCTGTCACACTCTCTTCTCCTCTCTCTCCTTACCCCACACCCCCCTCCTGATTGGCTCACAGACACTCTGACTCATACTGTCCCTAAAGGATAGAGTAGAACTGCCCCCAGAGGGCTTGCAAAGCTCTCATCTTCATGGAAGCCACTGTCATCTCCCTCCTGCATTGCCACTGATGGGCTCAACCTGTCAGCTTCTGTGTTCACATCGGAGTGCTTAACCACCGGGGCCCAGAGGTTCCTAAGTGAAGTTTAGGAAATATAACCAATCTTACAGTCTAAATAGTCTAGGGAAGTTAAGCAATCTTACAAATCTTACAGCTAATCAGAGCTACCAGTTGAACCCATGTTTATTCACTCAGATATTTTTTTCAATTATACCTTGCTGTTTGGGGTGGAGGATATCACATTTTCTAAAACTTCAAAACGAATGCATAACTTCCACGTTAGCAGTTCGACTGTGTGTCAATTCAACCGTAACTCAAATATAGTAACTAAGTCTCTGAGACTGCACAAAGAGATGTCAGGGCATCTGTGTAATCACACTCTAAGGTTGGAAGACTCTTTTTTGCAAGGGGGTGGCGCGCTAAGATAATCAAAAGCATTTCAAAGGTGCAAGGGACACTAGACGTCATTGAGTCCACATTTCCCCAATATTTGCGTGGGCAGAAGCAGCATGGAAAAGCTATGTGACCCATGTTCTTTGGTGGTCTGAGTTTCCGTGGGTGGAAATCACAAAGAGTGTTCCCTGCGCCGGCATTCTATCCACTACTGTGTGCAGGGGGGAGGCCCCCAGCCTGCCATAGCCTTGAAGGTTTCAAGCAGATAGTAAAACCCTTTTGGTCGGTGATCTAAGCCCACGGATGTGCCCCTAATCAGCAGCATTTATAGCCCGAGTCTTCTTCCAAGATTGCAGTTTTGGACTGGCTGTTTTCACATCCTTATAAAATGCCCAATAATGTGAAATTATCTTCAGAGGAGATTGTCTAAATGTGGCCTACCTCTTCCCAGCAGAGCAAGTTGAATCATCGGAGATCTGGGATCCTAGCCCCCAGGTAGAGCCCTCATGGAGAGAAGCTTCAGCATTTTGATATTGCCCCACTTTACACCTTATTCTGAGAAATGAGTAGGTACTGATATTTTATTTTATCTCCTGAAGTTCATATCTAGAAAGTCACACTGCAGCCTATTGAGAAGGACCAATTCTCTGCTCGCAGTACCAGCTAAAGAGATTCCTGAACAATTGCTGGGTTCTGTCCCATAGTCCTGTATATTACAGTCAGGAGTGAGCTTCCTTTTCTGCATCTTGGCTGCTAGGAAGCTCCTTCTGAGAATTCCACAACACAGTCTTGGCAGAATGAACCTGCATTGAGCCGACAGGAGCTTGAATCTTCTTCCTTATATTCAACTTCCTTTTCATCTAATTCCTTTTGTTATTCCATTTCTTGTGTCAAGTATTATTTTAAATGCATACAATGTCCAAGGTTGACGCCAAGCCTTGTGAGGCATGAGGTGGGAAGAACTAGTGAAGGATGGAGGTGGGAAAGGACAGAATGAAGGTCATGCATCTCCGGGCCAGTGGCTCAGATGCTGGGAGTGGGACCAGGTTGAGAAACAGAGTTAGTACTTGTCGCTGAATCAACTCTGTAACAAGGGTTGTTTTGTTTTTTGTTGTTTCCTTTTTCTGGCACAAAACCTTTCCCCCAGTTTCCTACTTCTCTGAAACCTTCCCAAGGCGGCCCAGATTCTGACCCCCATTACCTTTGCTGCGGCGGCGGCTGCGGTACTGCTCTGTGTAGAAGGTCAGCTGCGTCTCGTCGTCTGCCTCTGAACCCGAAGTCCCTTTGGTTCTGCCAAAGCTGAGTGCCCCTGCAAGAAGAGCCAAAGCCATCAGCATTCCCCCTGGCCCTCAGAAACTTGTTAAATCGCTCACCCATCCCCAAAAGCAGCAATCACACCCACCCAGACTTCTCTCTGTGAGTCTCAAATGGCCCAGGAGGCTGCCTGATGAAGGAACAGAGGTCATGGTCCTCAAGGAAGCTGACCTGGGTTCCCGGGGGTGGAGGTGGGTGGGTGGAGGCTCAAGAGCATCCTGACTGGGTGACCCTGGGGAGATAGCCCACCTTTCTGATCCCTGACTGCTTTGTTTCAAGATAGGAGCAGTAACTATTAACCTTGTGGGGCCGGTTTGCAGATTAAAGGAGAAATGAGATATAAAGTGCCAGTCCCTAGTGAGTGCTAAATAATTGAGAGCTATTCTTACTTAGTCTGATAAGCCTACCTCTAAAAAAAATATTCCAGGCAAGATAATTTTTCAAAAATTTCAATCAAATGCTTACTATATACCAGGGACACAAAGATACATGTGGCCCAGTCCCTGACAGGCAGGGCATCATAAGCTAGTCTGAGGGACAAATGAGATCCTAAGGAGCCTTAAACCTAATTCATGGCTTGTGCTTACCAGGCAATGCGACACTAGGAATAAGGAAGGGAGAGCAATCCATCGCCACAAGGAACGTCGGGGAAGGCTTTATGGAGAAGGAAAGATTTAAGCCAGGGCCTGATGGATGGATGGGGCTTCAGAGGTAGAAAAAAGGCATTCATTGGGCATAAAACACTGGAGCAGTGGCTGAGGGTGGGACTGGGAATGTGAAGCTAGAAAGGATAATTAGAGGATCCCAGATGTCCAAATAAGGACTGGGGACTTTGGGGATTGCGTGTCACGAAGGATCCTGAGCAGGGAATGAACTGGTCAGCTGTGTGAACCAGGATGGGCAAACCAGCAGCACTCAGACTTTAGAATGGCTTCCAGACAGGGTGGGCATTTGGGAGGCTCATTGATGGTCCAGGTGAGATCAACGGAAGGCCAGGGCGAGGGCAGATAGATGGGGTGAAGGTATAGGTGCTCAAAGTGCTTCAGAGATAAACTCAGAGAGTCATGGAGGAGAAAAGAGCCATCGGGTCACATCCCTTGAGTTTATTACATATATGATCAAGAAAAATGGCTAGAAGCAAAGACAACAGGTTGTTTTTGTCAGCTGACATGAAGTCAGCCTTGACCCATACACCTTGAGACGGGTCCCTTGTGGTCCACAGTTTCCTTTGGATGAGTGCTTAGAACCAAGATCAGAGAGGGGGAGGATCCCACCACTGCACGCCTGGTGTCTCATATGCCACATGCCAGTCTCACAGAAGCCCATTCTTTTTTTTTTTTTTTTAAATCAATTTATTGGGGCTCATAAAATTCATCACAATACATAGATCAATTGTGTAAAGCACATCTATACATTTGTTGCCCTCATCATCCCCAAAATTCGCTTGCCTCTTGGGTTCCCGGAATCAGCTCATTTTCCTCACCCCCCCTTCCTCTGCCCCCCTCCCCCATGCACCCTTGATAATTTATAAATTATTATTATATCTTATATTACACTGCCCGGCGTCTCCCTTCACTTACCCCTCTGTTGCCCATCCCCCAGAAAGGAGGTTATATGTAGCTCCCTGTGATCAATTCCCCCTTTCTACAACCCCCTTCCCTCTCTGAGTTTATCTCTGAAGCACTTTGAGCACCTATACCTTCTTCTTTTTTTTTTTTTTGGTTCATTTTTTTTTTTTAACATTTTATTAGGGGCTCATACAACTGTTATCCCAATCCATACACACATCAATTGTGTAAAGCGCATTTGTACACCGTTTCTCAAAACATTTTCTCTCCATTTAAACCCCCGACATTGGGTCCTCATTTTTCCCCTCCCTCCCCGCTCCCCCCTCCCGCATGAGCCCCTGATAGTTTATAAATGGGTATTTTGTCATATCTTGCCCTATCCGACATCTCCCTTCACCCACCTTTCGGTTGTCTGTCCCCCAGGGAGGAGGTCACACACAGTTCCATGTAATCGGTTCCCTCTTTCCTACCCATTCTCCCTTTACCCTCCCTGTTTTGCCACTCACACCACTGGTCCTATAGCAGAAGCCCATTCTTAAAGGAGAGAATGTGGGCGATCTCTCTGCTCTCGTTTCTGTGCTTTTCTGTATCTTAAAAAAGTATCTATTTATTTCAGAACAGACAATGGGAGAATAGAGAGAATTACTAAACTCGGCACAGAGCAGAAACAACCAGGAGAGCCCTTCTGGGCATGTTGGGAGGCAGGTGGGTGGGCGGGGGAGCACGGGGACTGCTTGTGAAAAGTGTTGGCAAAGTTCCAGGCACTGAGTGACCAGAATCAGGTGATCTCTGAGAGGAGACTGGAACATCTTGGAGACACACTGGCCCCTGGGATGGAGCCTTAAGTGACTGCAGGACAGATTTGGAAGGGCGACAGATTTTACCTCTAAGTCCTTTGCATCTTTTAAGTCAAATACTACTTATTCAAAGCTTCCACCAGAAGAAGAGAAAATCACACATTCATGGGGAAGAGTTATTCAACTCACCAGTGAGTGCATTAAGAAATCTACCCTATTTGAAAGGGCATTGGAAGTGGTGTGAAGTAGAGATGCAGCCACTTTTTCCTCAATGTGGCTCTCGCAGATGCTTCATTCTAGTAAAAACCTACTATTGAGCAATTTACCACGAGCCTCTAAGATTTGTACAATTACTGCAGCCGATCCTCATCACCACATACTGCGAAGAGCAGTAGAGGGCATTGCGGGTTTGGTGGCAAAGTTCCTGCCTTCCATGTAGAAGGTCAGACTTGATGCCCAGTGAGTGCAAGCAGCTCCCATGTGTCCATGTTACAAGAATGCCTAAGACGTTTCAGTCCAAGATGGAAGAGGAAGAAATGCCTGACAACCTACTTCTAAATATTGACAAACAACACCCTCATGGTCCACAATGATTGGAACCCATTATGAATGGGGTCGCTGAGAGTCCAGAACCTTGTACACATTACCTAACAACAACTGAAACAATGACTGAATTGGATAATAAAAGTAGGACTTTCTAGCCAAAGGTACTCCAGTCCCACGGCTGAAAAGTAGGGCAGTGGGAATCCAGGGGGGGTCTGTCCAGCTCCAAAGGAGGACTCCCCACTAGACAAATGGCTCCTGAGGAAACAGCTCATGAGAAGCCCTTGGGAGAGATTTGTCCTTCCAGCTTCAAGGTGTGTGAGCTTTGTATATATCAGAGCGTCCCACACACTCATGTTGCCCTTGGGACTGTCACTGTTCTCACCTTACAGAAGAGGCACTGAGGTTGAAAAGAGCAAAATGATGCTCCAATAAGGAAGGAAGCCGCAGTTTGACCCCAGGTGTGACTGACGCCCAAGCATCATATTCTTAACCTCGAAGTGACATTGACTCTTGTTTATTGCTCCACAAAGCAAAAATATTAATACCTAACACCCTTCCTAGCACGTTCTAATAGGTGGAAAGACCAAGAGACAGCACCATCTGATATTTGCCCCCCAAATGTGCCCTCATTCATGGTCTGTCCTTGGTTACTTCAAACCTTTCCCACCCCCTAGCAAAGAGATGCAGCAGGCCTGGAAATGAGGAGACTCTGGATTCCTGGCAAGGAACTTCCTTGTTGAAAGCTCGCAATAGAAATGGAGTTGGCAGGGACTTCATGGAACTTCTGGCAGAGGGAGGAGAGAAGAGATTTCCAGAAGAGACCAGTATCTTTTAAAAATTGTTATTACAATATTTGACTATTAGGAAAGGAAGGAAGGGAGGGAGGAAGGAAGGAAGGGAGGGCAAGAGAGGAAAGAATTGAAGGAGACCTGGTGGCATAGTGAGCCACCCATTGAGCCTCTAACCCCAAAGCCATCTGTTCAAACCCAGTAGTCACTCCCTGTGCAGGAGAAAGACAAGGCTGTGTGCTCTTGTAAAGAGTCAACGCCTCTGAAACCCAAAGGACCGTATCTTTTCTATCCGACAGGCTCACTGCGAATCAGAACGGACATGATGGCAGTGAGTGTTGAGGGATGCATTTCTTAGCCTAGGGAAAAAGAAGACCACCTGATAAAATAGTTCCCTATGGACAAGGAGCATCTGTCAAGCCTCAGACGGTGTTTTGGACAGCAGAGAAAGGAGAAGGGGTCTGAAGCTGTCTGCAGTCCACCCCAGACACTTTTAAAAAAAAATCATTTTATTGGGGCTCATACAACTCTTATCACAATCCATCCATACATCAATTGTTTAAGCACACTTATACATTTGTTGCCCTCAACATTCACAAAATGTACCTTCCACTTGGGTTCCTGGAATGAGCTCCTCATTTTCCTTTTTCCTCTCGCCCTCCCTCCCCGCTCCCCAATCCCCAATGAATCCTTAATAATTTATGAATTATTATTTTATCTTATACTGCCCGGTGTCTCCCTTCACCCACCCTTCTGTTGCCCATCCCCCAGAGAGGAGGTTATATATAGATCCTTGTGACCAATTCCCCCTTTCTACCTCCCCTTCCTTCCTGGTATCGACACTCTCACCGCTGGTCCTGAGGGGTTCATCTGTCCCAGATTCCCTATGTTTCCAGTTCCCACCTGCACCGCTGTGCATCCTCTGGTCTAATCAGGTTTGCAAGGTAGAATTGGGATCATGATAGTTGGTGGGAGGAAGCATCTAAAACTAGAGGAAGGTTGTGAGTTTTATTATTGGTACCCTGAACCCTGAGTGACTCATCTTATCCCCACTACCCCTCTGCAAGGGATGTCCAGTTGTGTGCAGATGGGCATTGGGTCCCCATCATGTGCTACCCTCATTCAAGATGATATGATTCCCTCCCACCCCCGCATCCCCGCCTTTGGTGCTTGAAACCTAGTCCCATCGGCCCTTCATGATCACACATGTTGGTGTGCTGCTTCCATGTGGTCTTTGCTACTTCTGGGTTAGATGGATGCTTGTTTACCCTCAAGCTTTTAAGTCCCCAGATGCTA